GTACCAGGTATAGTCCCCTTACCACACCAGGTATAGTCCCCTTACTGTACTAGGTATAGTCCCCTTACTGTACCAGGTATAGTCCCCTTACTGTACCAGGTATAGTCCCATTACCATACCAGGTATAGTCCCCTTACCATACCAGGTATAGTCCCCTTACTGTACTAGGTATAGTCCCCTTACTGTACCAGGTATAGTCCCCTTACTGTACCAGGTATAGTCCCATTACCATACCAGGTATAGTCCCCTTACCATACCAGGTATAGTCCCCTTACTGTACTAGGTATAGTCCCCTTACTGTACCAGGTATAGTCCCCTTACTGTACCAGGTATAGTCCCATTACCATACCAGGTATAGTCCCCTTACCATACCAGGTATAGTCCCCTTACTGTACTAGGTATAGTCCCCTTACTGTACCAGGTATAGTCCCCTTACTGTACCAGGTATAGTCCCATTACCATACCAGGTATAGTCCCCTTACCATACCAGGTATAGTCCCCTTACTGTACTAGGTATAGTCCCCTTACTGTACCAGGTATAGTCCCCTTACTGTACCAGGTATAGTCCCATTACCATACCAGGTATAGTCCCCTTACCATACCAGGTATAGTCCCCTTACTGTACTAGGTATAGTCCCCTTACTGTACCAGGTATAGTCCCCTTACTGTACCAGGTATAGTCCCATTACCATACCAGGTATAGTCCCCTTACCATACCAGGTATAGTCCCCTTACTGTACTAGGTATAGTCCCCTTACTGTACCAGGTATAGTCCCCTTACTGTACCAGGTATAGTCCCATTACCATACCAGGTATAGTCCCCTTACCATACCAGGTATAGTCCCCTTACTGTACTAGGTATAGTCCCCTTACTGTACCAGGTATAGTCCCCTTACTGTACCAGGTATAGTCCCATTACCATACCAGGTATAGTCCCCTTACCATACCAGGTATAGTCCCCTTACTGTACTAGGTATAGTCCCCTTACTGTACCAGGTATAGTCCCCTTACTGTACCAGGTATAGTCCCATTACCATACCAGGTATAGTCCCCTTACCATACCAGGTATAGTCCCCTTACTGTACTAGGTATAGTCCCCTTACTGTACCAGGTATAGTCCCCTTACTGTACCAGGTATAGTCCCATTACCATACCAGGTATAGTCCCCTTACCATACCAGGTATAGTCCCCTTACTGTACTAGGTATAGTCCCCTTACCACACCAGGTATAGTCCCCTTACTGTACTAGGTATAGTCCCCTTACTGTACTAGGTATAGTCCCCTTACCATACCAGGTATAGTCCCCTTACCACACCAGGTATAGTCCCCTTACTGTACCAGGTATAGTCCCCTTACTGTACCAGGTATCTTGATCTTAATCTTGATACCTTACCATGCCAGGTAAATTATAACACCTTCCTATACCTGGTAAATCTTGATACCTTACCATGCCAGGTAAATTATAATACCTTCCTATACCAGGTAAATCATGGTTTACTTGTGATACCAGGAAAATTATAGTGCCTGCCATGTCAAATACACAAGGCTCTGAACCATACAACATAAAAGGTTACTCATCCTAAATAACTGGTAAGAAAAGATGTTTCACAGCCTATACCAGATAAATGATGCTTATTGCCGTAATTAAATAAGCTTACTTACCATGACAGATAAACCATGCTCACCCACCGTTCTAGGTAAATATTGGCTTGTTATACCATTCTAGATAAGTTACAGTACCCCCACCAACTAACATATGATATTGTAATTCAGACAGGAAGACATCAGATTTTGTCATTATTAGTCATGTATATAGCATGTAAGAATGGATTTTCTGTTGTGGTTTATTTATCTACAGGTGTAATAACACCAATGGAGACATATCACAGCAAAAACCACAATCAATCCATTTGTTAATTAAGATGTACAATATTGAGTCTAGACAAAGTTTACAATCTAGACAAAGTTCACAATCTAGACAAAGTTCACAGCCTAGACAAAGTCCACAGCCTAGACAGCCTAGACAAAGTTCAGCCTAGACAAAGTTATGTCCAGACAAAGTTCACAGTCTAGACAAAGTTCACTGTCTAGACAAAGTTCACAATCTAGACAAAGTTCACAGCCTAGACAAAGTTCACAGTCTAGACAGCCTAGACAAAGGTCAACCTAGACAAAATCATGTCCAGACAAAGTTCACAGTGTACACAAAGTTCACTGTCTAGACAAAGTTCACAGCCTAGACAATTTTCACAGCCTAGACAACGTTCACAGCCTAGACAAAGTTCACAGTCTAGACAGTCTAGAGAGCATAGACAAAGCTATGTCCAGACAAAGTTCACAGTCTAGACTGTCTTGACAGCCTAGACAAAGTTCACTGTCTAGACAACGTTCACTGTCTAGACAAAGTTCACAGTCTAGACAGCTTAGACAAAGTTCAGCCTAGACAAAGTTCAGCCTAGACAAAGTTCAGCCTAGACAAAGTTCAGCCTAGACAAAGTTCAGCCTAGACAAAGTTATGTCCAGACAAAGTTCACAGCCTAGACAAAGTTCACAGTCTAGACAAAGTTCACAGTCTAGACAGCCTAGACAAAGTTCACTGTCTAGACAAAGTTCACTGTCTAGACAAAGTTCACTGTCTAGACAAGGATCACTGTCTAAACAAGGTTCACTGTCTAGACAAAGTTCACTGTCTAGACAAAGTTAAGTCCAGACAAGGTTCACATTTTAGACAAAGTTCACAGCCTAGACAAAGTTCAGAGTCTAGACAAAGTTCACAGCCTAGACAAAGTTCACAGTCTAGACAAAGTTCACAGCCTAGACAAAGTTCACAGTCTAGACAAAGTTATGGCCAGGCAAAGTTCACAGCCTAGACAAAGTTCACAGTCTAAACAGAATTCACTGTCTAGAGAAAGTTCACAGTCTCGACAAAGTTCACTATCTAGACAAATTTAACTGTCTAGACAAAGTTCACAGTCTGGACAGACTAGACAAATTTTACAGACTAGACAAAGTTCACAGCCTAGACAAAGTTATGTCCAGACAAAGTTCACAGTCTAGACAATTTTCACAGCCTAGGCAAAGTTCACAGCCTAGACAAAGTTCACAGTCTAGACAAAGTTATGTCCAGACAAAAATCACAGTCTAGACAAAGTTCACAGCCTAGACAAAGTTCACAGTCTAGACAAAGTTATGTCCAGACAAAATTCACAGTCTAGACAAAGTTCACAGCCTAGACAAAGTTCACAGTCTAGACAAAGTTATGTCCAGACAAAAATCACAGTCTAGACAAAGTTCACAGCCTAGACAAAGTTCACAGTCTAGACAAAGTTATGTCCAGACAAAATTCACAGTCTAGACAAAGTTCACAGCCTAGACAAAGTTCACAGTATAGACAAAATTCACAGTCTAGACAAAGTTCACAGTATAGACAAAGTTCACTATCTAGACAAAAATCATTGTCTAGAAATAGTTCACAGTCTAGAAAACGTTCACTGTCTAGACAAAGTTCACAGTCTCAACAAAGTTCACAGTCCAGACAAAGTTCAGCCTAGACAAAGTTCACTGTTTAGACAAAGTTCACAGTCTAGACTGTCATGACAGCCTAGACAAAGTTCACAGTCTAGACAGCCTAGACAAAGTTCACTGTCTAGACAAAGTTCACAGCCAAGACAAAGGTCACAGTCTAGACAGCGTAGACAAAGTTCACAGTCTTGACAGCCTAGACAAAGTTCACAGTCTTGACAAAGTTCACAGTCTTGACAGCCTAGACAAAGTTCACAGTCTAGACAAAGTTCACAGCCTAGACAAAGTTCACAGTCTAGACAGTCTTGACAGCCTAGACAAAGTTCACAGTCTAGACAAAGTTCACAGTCTTGACAGCCTAGACAAAGTTCACAGTCTAGACAAAGTTCACAGCCTAGACAAAGTTCACAGTCTAGACTGTCTTGACAGCCTAGACAAAGTTCACAGTCTAGACAAAGTTCACAGTCTTGACAGCCTAGACAAAGTTCACAGTCTAGACAAAGTTCACAGCCTAGACAAAGTTCACAGTCTAGACTGTCTTGACAGCCTAGACAAAGTTCACAGTCTAGACAAAGTTCACAGTCTAGACAAAGTTCACAGCCTAGACAAAGTTCACAGTCTAGACTGTCTTGACAGCCTAGACAAAGTTCACAGTCTAGACAAAGTTCACAGTCTAGACAAAGTTCACAGCCTAGACAAAGTTCACAGTCTAGACTGTCTTGACAGCCTAGACAAAGTTCACAGTCTAGACAAAGTTCACAGTCTAGACAAAGTTCACAGCCTAGACAAAGTTCACAGTCTAGACTGTCTTGACAGCCTAGACAAAGTTCACAGTCTAGACAAAGTTCACAGTCTAGACAAAGTTCACAGCCTAGACAAAGTTCACAGTCTAGACTGTCTTGACAGCCTAGACAAAGTTCACAGTCTAGACAAAGTTCACAGTCTAGACAAAGTTCACAGCCTAGACAAAGTTCACAGTCTAGACTGTCTTGACAGCCTAGACAAAGTTCACAGTCTAGACAAAGTTCACAGTCCTGACAGCCTAGACAAAGTTCACAGCCTAGACAAAGTTCACAGTCTAGACAAAGTTCACAGTCTAGACAAAGTTCACAGCTTAGACAAAATTCACAGTTGAATTTAAAAATATAATTATGTAACAAAAATGTGATGGAAAAATGGTATCGTGGTATTTACCAGACATATTGATGTACAATGTAACAATGATGTACATTGTAATTGTTTACCTATATACAGGTACTGTTATTTACCAGACATGCTGATGTACAATGTAACAATGATGTACATTGTTATTGTTTACCTATATATAGGTACTGTTATTTACCAGACATGCTGATGTACAATGTAACAATGATGTACATTGTTATTGTTTACCTATATACAGGTACTGTTATTTACCAGACATGCCGATGAGAGATAAAACAATTGGTACTGTGACAGCAACACCTTATATATTTCAGACCCTACCCAAAGATGATCAGAAGTTGCGGACATTACTGGGTGGTGTTCTGTATGCCTACGAGCTCCCCCCACCTGAGGACATCAAACCCCTTACTGTAGAGGAGGAAAAGTGCAGTAAAACAAAGAGCAGTTTGGGGCTGAACGACATACAGAGGGGACTCACAAAAGGTGAGGGAAGTTTTAAATTAATTGATTTAAACAAACTAAAGATGAAACTGATCTTAAGCTTAACACACCGATAGGGCTCAGTAAAACTGGGGGAAGTTTGAAGCTTGTTGACATAACAGATGAAGCTATATGGGGCTCCATGACATACAGATAGGGCTCAATAAAGATGTAGGTAGTATGGGGCTCCATGACATACAGATAGGGCTCAATAAAGATGTGGGAAGTATAGGACTCCATGACATACAGATAGGGCTCAATAAAGATATAGGCAGTATGGGGCTCAATGACAAACAAAGAAGTCATGATTAATATTAGTGCAGTTTGGAGCTCAATGACATACAAATAGGGATTGCTTGTGAGTGTAGTTTTAAGAACCTAGCTACACATTGAAGTGCTTGTTAAAGAATTTGTAGTTAAAAAGAACATGGGGGCCTGATAAGGAAACTTTCTGTTTTGTATTTTCACTATTTGTAATTCCTTAAACAATACAACTTGACTTTATTTTGTTCCAGCCAAAGTCCAGGCAAAGTTAACCAATGGCAATGTTCCTTCAATGAGTCTGTCTACAAGTTCAGACATTGGGTCACTGTCCACTGGAAACACACCGTCACATTCCCGTAACCCTAGCGATGCAGGAATGATGGGAAGTCTGAACGGAACACCAGAAAACAACAACAGTATGGCTCGCTCTATAGGTGATCATCTCTTTAAAGGATTCGTCATCAGCGTCCACAGGAAAATGGTGAGTCTCTTATTAGGGAACTGATCATCAGTGTCCACAGGAAAATGGTGAGTCTCTCATTAGGGAACTGATCATCAGTGTCCACAGGAAAATGGTGAGTCTCTTATAAGGGAACTGATCATCAGCGTCCACAGGAAAATGGTGAGTCTCTTATTAGGGAACTGATCATCAGTGATTGTCTGCGTGGTTCGCGTTCTGACTTGACTTTAACTGATTGTCTGCGTTGTTCGCATTCTGACTCGGCTTCAACTGATTGTCTGCGTGGTTCGCGTTCTGACTTGACTTTAACTGATTGTTTGTGTGGTTCGCGTTCTGACTTGGCTTTAACTGATTGTTCGTGTGGTTCGCGTTCTGACTCGGCTTTAATTGATTGTTCGTGTGGTTCGCGTTCTGACTCGGCTTTAACTGATTGTTCGTGTGGTTCGCGTTCTGACTTGACTGTTACTGATTGTTCGTGTGGTTCGCATTCTGACTCGGCTTTAACTGATTGTTCGTGTGGTTCGCGTTCTGACTCGGCTTTAACTGATTGTTTGTGTGGTTCGCGTTCTGACTCGACATTAACTGATTGTTCGCGTGGTTCGCGTTCTGACTCGGCTTTAACTGTTTGTATGCGTGGTTCGCGTTCTGACTCGGCTTTAACTGATTGTTCGTGTGGTTCGCGTCACATCAGTTATGGATCAGAAATCTAGTACATATTCTTCATATCTACCAGTATAATTTATGCAATCTATAAATAGATATTTGTGTGTGTATATTTTCGGGCTAATTAAAACATGAACATTACTACACGGTGAAAAATTCAGGACAATAAATGGAACTGTTGATCCTGTTCTAGGTATCAAGAAGGTAGTATGCAATAAACATTTGTTAACTTTTATCCGTAGATGAACGAAAAGAATAATGAACCACAAAAAGTTTGAATTTGAATAAATATAAAATAGTAAATTAAAAAGAAATGTAGATTTGATCAAATTTTACTCGTAATGTACCTATAGACCTTTGATAGATATTAAATCTTCTTCCTCTACAATTATTTTTCAGAACCTGATGGACGTATACTTCCTGTCCTCTCAGAAGACACGCCCATGTTTGTTCGGGACACCAATTATCCTTCCATGTTCTGAGAAAACCAACAACCTTGACCTTTATCAGTTTGTGTGGACTCAGGTGTCCCGCCTAGTCAGCCCCCTACCCCCCTCAGAGGCCAAATCAGCAAATCATGCTCAGGACTGGTAAGTATTTCCCCTGCGACCCCCTTCAACCCCTACGACCCCTACCCCCTTCAGAGGCCATATCAGCAAATCATGCTCAGGACTGGTAGGTATTTCCCCTACGACCCCCTTACCCCCATTAGAGGCCAAATCAGCAAACCATGCTCAGGACTGGTAGGTATTTCCCCTACGACCCCCCTACCCCCTCAGAGGCCAACTCAGCAAACCATGCTCAGGACTGGTAGGTATTTCCCCTACGACCCCCTTCAACCCGTACGACCCCCTTACCCCCCTCAGAGGCCAAATCAGCAAACCATGCTCAGGACTGGTAGGTATTTCCCCTACGACCCCCTTCAACCCGTACGACCCCCTTACCCCACTCAGAGACCAAATCAGCAAACCATGCTCAGGACTGGTAGGTATTTCCCATACAACCCCTTTACCCCCATCAGAGGCCAAATCAGCAAACCATGCTCAGGATTGGTAGGTATTTCCCCTACGAACCCCTACCCCATCCCCTCCCTTTACCAAATCAGGGTCCAAATTAAGAAACATTTACCATACTGATAGATATCATCCCAATCCATAATTCACTTTAACCCAAATCTACTCTGCACCTGTTCCCAGCAAGTTATTTCAACATTTGAAGTTTCTGAGTTTGTAAACATTGTAGATTTATTGAGGTAAATATAATACCATTTTTTTTTTTGCATAATGTCAATAATTTTTCGGATAATGCCTCTGCAAGGTTTACTTATATTGATGTAGTGAGTGTATTTAAATGTGGTTGTTGTAGTGACGACAGTCTTGGTTACGAGTACCCGTTCACGCTGAAGGTGGTACAGAAGGACGGCCTGACGTGTGCCTGGTGTCCCTGGTACAGGTAATACTGTCTTATTTGTTGAGTGTGTTATACATATAGTTCAATCTTAGGAAGACTTAGTGTATCATATAGACTAAAACATCATCAACAATGCAAATAAAGATGATCATCGTTAACAATTTCTATTGCCTGCAAATGGCCCCAAGACTTTAAAAAGTTGGCGATGATCACTAATATCTGCCATGTTGATGATATTTAGTCTGCATCTATATGTATCTATGAGGTGGAGAGTTGTTTGCTTGTCTGTAGTAGACTTAGATAGAAGTTACACATGGAGCGGCTGTAGTAGACTTAGATAGAAGTTACACATGGAGCGACTGTAGTAGACTTAGATAGAAGTTACACATGGAGCGACTGTAGTAGACTTAGATAGAAGTTACACATGGATCGGTTGTAGTAGACTTAGATAGAAGTTACACATGAAGCGGTTGTAGTAGACTTAGATAGAAGTTACACAAGGAGCGGTTGTAGTAGACTTACATAGGATTATATTTAGTCTGCATCTATATGTATCTATGAGGTGGAGAGTTGTTTGCTTGTCTGTAGTAGACTTAGATAGAAGTTACACATGGAGCGACTGTAGTAGACTTAGATAGAAGTTACACATGGATCGGTTGTAGTAGACTTAGATAGAAGTTACACATGGAGCGACTGTAGTAGACTTAGATAGAAGTTACACATGGATCGGCTGTAGTAGACTTAGATAGAAGTTACACATGGATCGGTTGTAGTAGACTTAGATAGAAGTTACACATGAAGCGGTTGTAGTAGACTTAGATAGAAGTTACACATGGAGAGGCTGTAGTAGACTTAGATAGAAGTTACACAAGGAGCGGCTGTAGTAGACTTAGATAGAAGTTACACATGGATCGGTTGTAGTAGACTTAGATAGAAGTTACACATGAAGCGGTTGTAGTAGACTTAGATAGAAGTTACACATGGAGCGGTTATAGTAGACTTAGATAGTAGTTACACATGGAGCGGCTGTAGTAGACTTAGATAGAAGTTATACATGGAGCGGCTGTAGTAGACTTAGATAGAAGTTATCTATAACTGCTCAGTTTTGTGATACAGATACTTCTGGGACTGATTTTCAGTTTTGTGATACAGATACTTCTGGACCTGATTTTCAGTTTTGTGATACAGATACTTCTGGGACTGATTTTCAGTTTTGTGATACAGAGACTTCTGTGACTGTTTAAAGTTATGTATAATTCAATGTTCTAGTGATACATGAAATCATGATTGATGCAAGAAATTATGCCAAAATGGATATCACATGAAACTTAAGCTATTTATGGTAACATAAGGTCAATGTTTGCTTTACTTAATAGAATTTATATCAGTATCGCTTGTTCTGTTACCTAATGATATTATGCTGATAAAGATAACATGCACAAATTATTTATGATTCGTTCTCACAATGATAATTTTGAGATTTTACCATCCATAATTTTTCTGTGACTTAGGTTTTGCCGAGGATGTCGACTTGAATGTACAGCGGATCCTTTTAACTTTGGGAGTTCATTTATAGCCATTGATTGGGAACCCACAGCACTCCATCTTCGCTACCAAACCTCACACGAAAAAGTGAGTTGTAACGAAACAGGGCTGCAAGGTCAGCTGCTTGTGACAATAATCGTTGTCAAGGTTTCATCCCTTTCTCATTCAATGATATTGTAATCATTCTGGTACTTGTTGGTCTTACTGTAAATTTTGAAGAAATTGCTAATGATATTTGTTTGAAGTTTTTGAATCCTTTCATTTGACTATAGCTTACATGAGTATGTTTGTGTTATTTTCTTCTTATGGCCAAATCCTCCTGCAATATTATATGCTGTTAAAAATGTATTTTCTAAGTTTTGCTGGGTAGTTTCTTTCGTGGATTGAAGCCATTTAGAAAAACTACATTAACATAAATTGTGCGAGTGCAAACAGCTAGCATCTGCTCTGTATATAATTTGAGATATGTGTATAGTTAAAGAAACCTACAGTACTGTGAGAATTTACTTAACTTTCAACAAAGCTAAATATTTAATAAAATAATTCAGTATTGATTGCGCAATATTGTTCATGCCTATAGGCATACCCCCTAGCTACATAAATCAGTAACCGCTATAACTACTTCAGGTTTGATCACTCCTGAGGCACTAGATGAACTTTCAGGGTTGATCACTCCTGAGGCACTGGATGAACATTCAGGGTTGATCACTCCTGAGGCACTGGATGAACATTCAGGTTTGATCACTCCTGAGGCACTGGAAGAACATTCAGGTTTGATCACTCCTGAGGCACTGGATGAACATAGCTGCTACTGTAAACTGGGAAATATTCGCCCAGTCAAACTTTTGCCCTTTACTCATGAAATCAATTTTCACCAAGTGTGATTTTCACTTTCCAATACTATGTTCACAGCAATGATAAATTATAGTAAAAGGTTAAACATTAAACTGCAGCAAACATTTCCCGGTGTACATTCTCACCTTAGTCTGATAAACCTCATCACCAGGCCTAATTTGTTAGGGATGCTGTATTTACTACCTTTTTCTGTAGTTATGGGAGGAGCACAGTAGTGTAGAGGAGAGTCGCCGGCGACAGACAGAGCCGATAGACCTGGATACGTGTCTCCAGGCATTCACCAAGGAAGAGGAGCTCGGTGAGGAGGAGTTGTACTACTGCTCCAAGTGTAAAAAACATTGTCTGGCTATCAAAAAACTGGATATTTGGCGATTACCCCCAATACTGGTGAGTACTTAATAGTACTTGTAGTGTTAACTTTGTTAGTTGTATTGATAACTACCTCCTACACTGTGGCAAGTGTCAAAGTACTGTTAATGGGACAAAGATAGACACAAAGGTTTGTTTACAAATTATTAGCTCATCTGGTTCTTCATTTAAACAGCTGAATGGAATTTCACTTAATTTGACTGGAAGCATCCGACGGTGGTGGGGATTCATAATTATACAAATACAGGGGCTGAGGAGCAGGACCAAAAAAGTAACTGTTGAGATCGCAATGCTCAATTGCCTGGCATGAAGAGACAAATACATTCATGCTACTTTGAATACTGTAAGGGTCCTGCCCGCCCTTGAGGGTTTAGCATTGGGTCTTAAACTGGAAAACAGTGGAGATTATCACCCTATAGTCATAACTGTACCAGTTTTGTATAAAGAGATGAACACACTGCTAAGATTAGCCTGGGATCTCACCCTTGGAAACGTTTTTCGCAATGTTTATGAAAATATTTTGCTATGATTGCTTTTCCCAGGTAAGTAATACAGGCTTTCTGGGCCTTTATTATTATTCTGTATTTACTCCACTTCATTTTTGGCATTCAGATTTTCAGTATGAATTCACTCTCCGACTAGAGACTTTACCCACTTCAGGTCTCTTATAAGCTTTTATCACATGTTTAATTCATCCTCCATTTCAGGATAAAAACAAAAACAAAAGAGAACCAAATTGTGATTTTAAAGTATACTGGGTACCATTAGATTTCCAGGAACGCATGGTGTTCCTTGAGCCCTCAGTGTATATCAAGCCTTTCTTGTGCTTTTTTTTTCAGATAATAAACTTAAAAAGATTCCAATTCCTAAATGGCAAATGGGTCAAGTCCCACAAGATTGTCAAGTTCCCTATAGAGGATTTCGACCCTTCAAATTACATTGCACCAACCAGGAAAGCTCACAACAAAAGTCAGAATTCCACCACCACCACCAGTACCAGTATCTCCTCTGATGAGAGCCTCAGCCAAAGCAACCATTGCTGTCAGAATATAAACACCACCACCCACCCAAACCCTGTGCCAAACGAGCGCATGTGGGGCTCCGTCTCCAGCGGAATCTCCTCCGACGAATCAGGTATGTCGGGTGTATTTTTCGTGTTCAGTTTTTAGCTGAGCTGATGCCATGGCGCAGCGTCCGGCGTCTGTCCGGCGTCCGTCAACTTTCCTTTAAACGACTTCTTCTGAAGAACCAGAAGGCATAGAGTCATGATATTTGGCTGGTAGCTTCCTTATATGGAGCCCGACAAAGTTTGCGAAAAAAACAGAATTTGACCTACTTTCAAGGTCAAAGGGGTCAAATATGTAAAAACCTTCAAACAACTTCTTCTGAAATACCAAAAGGATTAGAGACATGACAATTGGTAGGTAGCTTCCATGGAATAAGCCATACAAGGTTTGCGAATAAAAATGGCCTGGACCTACTTTCAAGGTCACAGGGGTGAAATATGTCAAAATTTTCAAACAACTTATCTTTTGAAATACAAAAAAGCCTAGAGATATGACAATTACCTGGTAGCTTCCTTGGTAAAAGCCAAATAAAGTTTGCGAATAAAAATGACCTTGACCTACTTAAAAGGTCATAGTGGTCAAATATGTCAAAATTTTCAAACAACTTATCTTTTGAAATATAGAAAAGCCTAGAGATATGACAATTACCTGGTAGCTTCCTTGGTAAAAGCCAAATAAAGTTTGCGAATAAAAATGACCTTGACCTACTTTAAAGGTCATAGTGGTCAAATATCTCAAAACCTTCAAACGACTTTTTCTGAAATACTGAAATGCCTAGTGATATTGTATTTAAACTCTAGGCTTCCTTGGAATAAGCCAAACAAAGTTTGCGAATAAAAATGACCTTGACTGACTTTCAAGGTCACAGGGGTCAAATGTGTTAAAATCTTTAAACAACTTTTTCTCAATAACGAACCGACATTGGAAGAAGATATATGCCCAATAGCATGCTGGGAGAAAGGGATACCAAGTTTGTTCATATGAATGACCTTGACCTACTTTCAAGGTCACAGGGGTCAAATGTGTCAAACATTTCAAACGACTTCTTCTGAAGAACTGAAAGGTATAGAATCTTTATATTTGGCAGGTGGCTTCCTGGGATAGAGCCAGACAAAGTTAGAAATTGAAAATGACCTTGACTTACTTTCAAGGTCACAGGAGTCAGATATGTCTAATGCTTAAAACGACTTCTTCTGAAGAACTGAAAGTTATAGAAGCTAAATATTTGGCTGGTGACTTCCTGGGAAAGAGCCCAACAAAGTTTGAGAATGAAAATGACCTTGACATACTTTTAAGGTCACATGAAGCAGATATGTCAAACACTTCAAACGACTTCTTCTGAAGAACTGGAAGGTATAGAACATTAATATTTGGCTTGAAGCTTCCTAGGAAAGAGCCCAACAAAGTTTGAGAATGAAAATGACCTTGACCTACTTTCAAGGTCACAGGAGTCAGATATGTCTAACGCTTAGAACAACTTCTTCTGAAGAACTGGAAGATATAGAACCTTAATATTTGGCTGGTTATTTCCTGGGAAAGAGCCAAACAAAGTTTGCTTATGAAAATGACCCAAATTACTTTAGAGGTCACAGAGGTCAACAACATTTTAAAGGATTTGTTCTTAAGAACTAAAAGAAATGGATTCATTAGATTTGGCTGGTAGCTTTTTGGAATAGAGCTAACCAATTTGAGAAGGAAAATGACATTGACCTACTTACAAGGTCACAGGAAAAAATATGTCAAGCAACTTCTGAAGAAGAATCAAAAAGCATAGAATCTTATGATAATATTTTGCTGGTAGTTTCAACAGATGGAGCCAACAAAGTTTGCGAAGGAAATCTTTTTAGTGCAATATAATATTTAATGAGAATATTTTACTATGACTGCTTAAATATTCAGGTGAGCGATACAGGGTCTCTTGTTATCACATAAATATGACAATATACAACACAAAATGAAAGCTATAGAAAGAAAGGTCCCGATAGTGAGAGTTTTATAACATGTTCTTTACCCTGTAGGTTCTGTGTTGGTGAGAGTTATATAACATGTCCTTTACCCTGTAGGTTCTGTGTTGGTGAGAGTTATATAGCATGCCCTTTACCCTGTAGGTTCTGTGTTGGTGAGAGTTATAAAACATTCCCTTTACCCTGTAGGTTCTGTGTTGGTGAGAGTTTTATAACATGCCCATTACCCTGTAGGTTATGTGATGGTGAGAGTTTTATAACATGTTCTTTACCCTGTAGGTTATGTAATGGTGAGAGATTTAAAACATGTTCTTTACCCTGTAGGTTCTGTGTTGGTAAGAGTTTTATAACATGCCCTTTACCTTGTAGGTTCTGTGTTGGTGAGAGTTTTAAAACATGTTCTTTACCCTGTAGGTTCTGTGTTGGTGAGAGTTTAAAACATTGTCTTCACGCTGTAGATTCTGTGTTGATGAGAGTTATATAACATGCCCTTTACCCTGTAGGTTCTGTGATGGTGAGAGTTTTAAAACATGCCCTTTACCCTGTAGGTTCTGTTATAGATGTTATATAACATGCCCTTTACCCTGTAGGTTCTGTGATGGATGTTATATAACATGTCCTTTACCCTGTAGGTTCTGTGTTGGTGAGAGTTTTATAACATGCCCTTTACCCTGTAGGTTCTGTTATAGATGTTATATAACATGTCCTTTACCCTGTAGGTTCTGTGATGGATGTTATATAACATGTCACTTACCCTGTAGGTTCGGTTATAGATGTTATATAACATGCCCTTTACCCTGTAGGTTCTGTTATGGATGTTATATAACATGCCCTTTACCCTGTAGGTTCTGTTATAGATGTATATAACATGCCCTTTACCCTGTAGGTTATGTTATAGATGTTATATAACATGTCCTTCACCCTGTAGGTTCTGTGATGGATGTTATATAACATGCCACTTACCCTGTAGGTTCGGTTATAGATGTTATATAACATGCCCTTTACCTTGTAGGTTCTGTTATAGATGTTATATAACATGCCCTTTACCCTGTAGGTTATGTTATAGATGTTATATAACATTCCCTTTACCCTGTAGGTTCTGTGATGGATGTTATATAACATGCCCTTTACCCTGTAGGTTCTGTGATGGATGTTATATAACATGTCCATTACCCTGTAGGGTCTGTTATAGATGTTATATAACATGTCCTTTACACTGTAGGGTCGGTGATGGATGTTATATAACATGTCACTTACCCTGTAGGTTCGGTTATAGATGTTATATAACATGCCGTTTACCCTGTAGGTTCTGTTATGGATGTTATATAACATGTCCTTTACCCTGTAGGTTCTGTGATGGTGAGAGTTTTATAACATGCCCTTTGCCCTGTAGGTTCTGTGATGGATGTTATATAACATGCCCTTTACCCGGTAGGTTCTGTTATAGATGTTATATAACATGCCCTTTTCCCTGTAGGTTATGTTATAGATGTTATATAACATGTCCATTACCCTGAAGGTTCTGTGATGGATGTTATATAACATGTCCATTCCCCTGTAGGTTCTGTTATAGATGTTATATAACATGTCCATTACCCTGAAGGTTCTGTGATGGATGTTATATAACATGTCCATTCCCCTGTAGGTTCTGTTATAGATGTTATATAACATGTCCATTACCCTGAAGGTTCTGTGATGGATGTTATATAACATGTCCTTTACCCTGTAGGTTCTGTTATAGATGTTATATAACATGTCCATTACCCTGTAGGTTCTGTTATAGATGTTCTATAACATGTCCTTTACACTGTAGGTTCTGTGATGGATGTTATATAACATGCCCTTTTCCCTGTAGGTTATGTTATAGATGTTATATAACATGTCCATTACCCTGTAGGTTCTGGGATGGATGTTATATAACATGTCCATTACCCTGTAGGTTCTGTTATAGATGTTCTATAACATGTCCTTTACACTGTAGGTTCTGTGATGGATGTTATATAACATGTCACTTACCCTGTAGGTTCGGTTATAGATGTTATATAACATGCCATTTACCCTGTAGGTTCTGTTATGGATGTTATATAACATGCCCTTTACCCTGTAGGTTCTGTTATGGATACCAGTGACTACAGTCAGATGAATGGTGACAGTAGGACAGGGGACAGCAGCGAGTCTTCCAGCCTCAGCAAGCCCTGCCAACTGTGTGCAGCCAACCGTGGCAATGACTACTCCAATGTCAAATATAACCTATATGCAATGTCGGTGAGTACAGCTTGAATGTTTTACCACTATGTACATGTTTTCAGCATGATAACAATGATCTGTCTCAATGTCTATATCACCGTTTTCATTTGTCTGGTGCAAAACTTTTGGAAATAAAAGTGGTTTTTCTTAGAATTAGTTTGGATTTTGGAAAGTACATTGTTTTCCTGGCTATTAGAGCTTGTGTTTGCAAGATTCTACTGTGGCTTAACATTATAAATGTTGTAAACAAACAGACATAGTTTCTGTTTCCATATATATAACACAGACAATGTTTCTTGTTGCATTCTTCTTTGTTTCTATTGTAGATATTGTTTACAGTCATGTGTAGTTTCTGTTTCCATACATGCTGATACAATTTCTTAATATAATCTTTTCTATCTCTAGCAAAATATGGTGTTTACAAACAAGCATAGTTTCTGTTTCCATATATATTACACTGACATTATGTGATTTCAGTGCCACACAGGGATACTTGGTGGGGGACATTATGTTGGATATGCAAAGAACCCCAACAAGAAGTGGTATTGCTATAACGACAGCAGTTGTAAGGTAAGAGTATGTATTTTGGCCTTTACAAAAATTGTGTATTATGGATCCAATTGTTGCTTTTATTACTTTGATTCAATCATAAAGAAAAGAAAGACCCATATTTAAAATACCTTCATTTGCATGATTCTTCATATTTGATTAATGATATCTGTAGATTATATCTTACTAAAGGTCTGCCAAGCATAATTTGAGACCAGTAGGTTAGGTCTGTGATTGTAAATACAGCCATCAAATAACCATCCTTTCTGCTAAAAGCCACTGTATGTCACTTCATGCTGGCCACATAGTGTTAAATATTTGAGCCAATTTGAGCAATAAGATAATATCAAAAATATTTTGTCAATAGAAATTTGTCTGTCATTTTTGGCACTGCTAAGACAAAGCAATGGCAGTGTAATGCAATATATGAAAAAAATAAAAGCAGTATAATAAAAACTATCATTGTAGTTTAAGTCTTTCAAAGGAACTATTCATAAGTCCAATAGGTTACTTTTTGGTGATTACAACTGTAGCACTTTTCTGTAAAATAGGAAATTCCATTTCAAGGATTTTAATTTGTTGACATGTTAAAGAACACAGTGCGTTCCATTATTTGAGCAGTTGAGTAAACTAAACATCACCTAAGTGATCATAATATTTCAAACAAGTAAGATCAATTTTATAGATTTTTTTATAAGAAAACAACAAAATAGCTGTGAGTAATTAAAAATATTAATGATTAATTGATTATTAACTCTATTTACCAGGAGATACCTGTGGGTAGCCTTGACACCAACTCCGCCTACATCTTATTTTATGAACAGCAGGGCTTAGATTTTGCCAAATTCATGCCAGATCTAACAGGAAAAGAACCAGATCTTCAGGAGATAGAGGATGAGTTTGAATCAGACTTTAAAAAGATGTGTGTTCTCCAATGACACAGCACCAGTGCTGTACTGTAACCTGCTGTAACTAACCCTGTACTGTAGTAATCCTCAACAGGACAGAGTTAGCCTCAACACTCACATTAAGGAATCAAAAAGTAATTAAGGCAATCCAAATCAAGAAATGTGATTCCTTAGAAATATGTGATGTAATGATTATTGGTTTGAAATGTGAGTCTGTGTGTAGATAAATTTACATGTGCAGGAGTACAGCGGAATCATTGTCTATATAATTCAGTGTTACAGTTTGTGATGGTCATTGTCACCTCATCATTGATATGCAGAACTGTCCTCAAGTTTTCTCACGACGTTATTCTTATCACTGCTATGATATGCTTAAGTTTCAAAGTTAGATACATCCTTCGAAGATGGAGATTTTAATGATGTAGTGTGGCAAGTTTGATGTCAAAGCAGAGCTACAACTAGTGTAAGGACAGAGAATTGATAGATAAACAGGAATTAAGTAAGGACCAGTACAGGCGGTCACTGGGTAGAGGAAGTTACAGTATTATGACACATAGCAGGCCACAGCTGTGAAGAGGAAGTTGTCGCTGTGGAGAGTATATTCTGAAGATAATTAACCAGTTATTATAGGTCACGAATTTGTATACCGTATTACTTTCATTTATACTTCTGTTGCTGTTAGCTATGCTCCATACTTATCTGTGTCAGAACAAAGATGTATATCTCTTACTCACATGTATATGTATATCACCGTGACAACTGTTGCTAACAGTTATATGTGGTTATCACTATGACAACCATTGTTAACAGATGTGTTTGTTTATCACCACAACAATCAATGTCAACAAGAATGTGTGTTATTAGCACAACTACAATAGTCAACAGCTATTTGTGGTCATCAGCATAACAACCATTGTCAAATCATGTCGAATTATCACTATGACATCAGTTGTCAGAAGTTGTGTTTGGTTATCACCATGACAACCAAATAACTGGTTATTTGACTGATCATTATACCATCAACTGGTCATGGTTGATATAGTAGACTGATCATTATACTGTCAACTGGTCATGGTTGATATAGTAGACTGATCATTATACTGTCAACTGGTCATGGTTGATATAGTAGACTGATCATTATAC